GCCGTATCTACCGTAGCGTTTAGTGACACAATATCATCGGGAAACTCGTCCAAAGTTGCTTTCTGAGTCGTGTAGAACAAAGGTTTTTTTTGCAGGTTTTTGACCGTTTCACTTCGCTTTTTCGCCATTTTCCCCGTTGTATTGCACCCCTGCTACCATTTTAGACCGAGTATAATTTTCCTGGCTTATGCCTTCAATGATGTGGTCCACTTACCCGCCACAATCTCCTTGTCCCCTCTGCCAGCGATGTGCCACGCGGTAGCTGTTGAGCCGCTGAGTTTCGTACCTGTGAATACAGTAATGAGCTCTAAGTGTGAAGGACAGAACCCTACTCACTTACTTGAACCATTTGCAAATTTCACCCTTCACGTCACCTGATGGGTGAAAACATACATATCGACTGCTATTGATCGATGATGGAATCGATATTATCGATCTGTAGTGGTGCACTTTTGAGTCCACTGAAATCCTATGCATTCAATAAGAGTGCGGATTGAAATCATTCAATAACTTACCTTGAACTGAAAAAGCCATATCAATTTGGTCTTTCTTTTCTGATGAGAAAATATTCCCGATCAATGTACCCTTTGATCCCTGAAGTTGAATCGAGAAGTCAAATTTATCGCATTCTTGAATTCCACAGTTTCCTTACCAAAAAAGAAATATTCAAATATCGATTGCTATCGCGATCTACTTGAATCATCCCATCGAACGACTCCAGCTGAGAGATATGACGAAGCATATGAGGCCGAGTCTCTGATGTCATGTGTACCTGAAGATCGTGCTTTTACAGAGAATTCATCCCCACATTATTTTCGCCCTACCGTAATGCTAGTCCCTTCGGCATGCTCGACTCTCACAGCTCGATCCTGGTAGACAGCCGTTTCTATCCATGGATCATCAGTCAGTGCTCTGCCTGCAAATACTCCGCACGTGAGGTTCTTCGCTGATTTTGGGTTGCTACTCTCTAACCAGGCATGTTCGCCGCGCTTATGGGCGAGACATGGACCTCAAAAAACGAGGTGTAGAAGGAGGTGCTGCCACCGCTCGCACTTTGGAACTGGGTTTTTCGTTTTTTTTTTCAAGCTGCGCCGCAACCGCGCGTGGCCTAACACGGTTCACTCGGCCAGATTTCATTACGAGGCAGAAATTTCTACTACGTATACTCTGAAAGCAGACAATCTACGTTGATCGCACAGACACAAACAGTCATCCACTGCGCCTCCATCGTTCTTGGAAGATATAGCGAAGAGGACTTCAATGAGGTTGACTTTCTCCTCCCGACGATTACGGTCAATTTCTCACCTTTCCCCTCTGGGAAGAAAACATCAGATGTAGTAGAGAACTGCTAAGCATGTAGAGAGCTTCTCTCTCTCTCTTTCTCTCT